GAATTAAGTTCAAACAGCAATTTTAGTGTAAGTCCAAAAATAATGAAGATTATCTGCAGAAGTACTGCAATCCTTGTGCAACTGTGGCTGTAATCACTACACACCTGCTGCAGCTCCCAGTCTGAATCTGAGTTGTCAGATCGTTCTGAATGTGAGTCAGTAAGCCGACTGAGCGTAGCACTTGTATCACTACCACGGTGACTACCCTGCTCTCTCTCTGCTCGTCGACCTAGTATAGGAGCAGCCTCATCACTCACTTCACTCACTACACTGGTTGCCTGGCTGGCTGAATCCTCCGAAGTTGAGCCTTGTACTGAGAGACCTGTACATGTCAGCATCTTAACAGTCTTTCATATTAAGTTCACTTTATTTTCATTAAACTAGGAATCATCGTGACTTAAGTATTTCCTATGTTCAAGCATCTTCAGATGAAGTTATATGAACATGGAGATAAAAGTTCCATACCAATAGTGAGGGGTGAGTGATCAAGTTCACACTCCATCTAATTTATAACTGAAAAAAGAGCACCTAATACATACTAGATAAACTAGATCAGTAAGTGCAAATACCTGAAGGACTGAACACCAGCCCTCTGTCAGGGCTAGTCCGATGCTTGAGTATTGATGTCACTTCCACTGGTTTCTTGCCATAAGGAGAACCAAGAGATATAGAACTACCACCTACAGAGAAAACAGATTACTAATAAAAGTAGCTGATTCTACAGTTTCTAGAGAGATGGAATTAAGAGGCAAACCTTCTACACATTTTTCTCCATTTCTTCCTTAGGAGCCATGACCAGTTTCTTCCACATTTTTTCCAATTCATCATTCACAAATCATCCTGGTATCTGAAACTACATAACCTAAGAAGTTAAAAATGTGGCATTAAATAAAATGGGATTCAAACTCTAGCCCTCATGAATGGAGAGAAACAACAAGAGTTAAGAACAGTGGGAGATACTGAAACCACAAATAATAAATTTAATGGTGGAGCAAGAGAGATTTTTCACCTCTAAAATAGCAGACACAAAAAAAGTATGTAAAACAATACCAATTTTACACTGTATGTGTGTGTGTTTTTGCACTGTTTGTACTATAAATTTATCACAAAATGTTTATCTTGGAGCCAGGAAAAGTCATAGTAAAGAAATTCGCACATAAGGTTCCTCTATCAGAGTAATATGAGCTGTAAAATGAGCAAAACTTTAAACAAAAGATATTCCAAAACTGAGAGAATTCAATTGCAATCCCTAAACTGAAGCAGGTCCCACTGTAATTAAACTGCAGTATATATTAGTATAATTACAAAATTCAACTTAATGTTTTTCTACTTTTGGACTAACAGTAAGCACTTGTAGTACATTACATAACAAAATAGACTGGATGAGAATGAGTCATGGGGTAATTAATATAAGATACTACTTTATGATTAAACCAATTTTCATACAAATGTGGATAAAGATAAATAACTGTACACTCACTCACTAGTGATGCATGTTTAGACGGAGTTGATGGATCAGCAGACCGAACAAACCCAAGAAAATTGGGTGATGTTTTGCGCACAGGAACCATTTCAGGCTGTATCACCTGTGGACGTGGCCCTGATGCCAACCTAAATATTTTTTTTTATATTATGTGGTGACACTGTCAGTAAGTACTTATGGACTGTCAACTCCTGCCTGTTTTATTCACTTATTACCAAGAATGTTTAAAATGGAAATCAATTAAAATAATTATGAAAAATAAATCTCCAACAGGCTACTTCTTTCCATGTAAAACTCTGATGAGCCATTGCTTGGTTATTATTATTAAGTGTTCTGTCTTACGACAGGTCCATTGCTCTGCCCAAAAAGAGCTTTCCAGTTGTCCCTATTCTCGGCTTCTCGCTTTAATTCCTGGAACGTCATCTTCTTTCCTTGTTTAAGGTCGTCGGTTAGCTGTATCAGTCTTCTTCCCAGTCCTCGCTTTCCTTCAACCTGGCCTTCGATGATATCACTCAGTAACCCATTCCTTCTCATAATATGTCCCAGCCAGTTAGCTTTCCTTCGTGTAATCGCCTGCAGAATGCTTCTTTGCTCGTTGACTCTCCTCAATACTTCTTCGTTGGTCAATTACTTAAATTAAATTAACTCCGTGGCGTAACAGCTCCAGGGAGCCAAAACCAACTAGCTTGACTGCTGGCCTCACGTTCACATGCCTAAGCAGAGGTGAACGATCATCCAACCAGATATAGGGTGACGTGTGGTCAGCACGACGAACCCCCAGCCATTGCTAGTTTTACTGACCGGATTACACTACTCACCCTAAAATGGAATTCAAAACATAATTTGAACAAAGATTTCATGTACCATAATTATATAATATGGTATAAAACACAAGTTAATATTATATTTAGCTTTATTTATGTGTTGACACTTTCATTTTATTGCTTCCTTTGAGATTATCTCACCGCTTAATGTTATTTGTTACTCAACTCCAATACATTTAAATTGAATCATGTAATTAGGTATAGCTGCAGACGTTTTGCCAAAGCTGACACACAAAACGCTCTTTTATTCTTCAGATCTAATTTTACAAATCAAAATAAAGCCTACAACAATACATGTCATACTTTATTAAAGTAGGAATTTGATTTTCAATCTAAGCATCTAGGCTCCAATTGCTGTTCGTATATCATAATAAAAAAATCTGTATATTTGTAGAAATACGGGACTACTTGGCGTCCCGTTTTATCCTTTTTAGGAAAACGGGACACCTACCTCAAAACGGGACAATCCTGTTAAAAACGAGGCGTCTGGTCACCCTGGTCTGTACTAAAGTTATAAGATCTGTAAGCCTATAATTTCTTTCATGTAAATGTTGTTATGGTGGGCCTATGTCTAAATTTTCTTCCGAGTTCTGTCATGTAGCATTCTAGAAGTTTATGGGCGTTTCGGAGGTGTTTCATTCCTCTATTATCAAGGCGACGAGGGCCTCATGGCACTGATTATGGAGGTAGGAAACTAATCTGAATCATCGGAAAACTTCTACAAAACTACTACACGGAGCAACCACCCAGAAGACAACTATCTTCATACTCACCACAGTGAGAACCTGAAACACTTTCATTCTGTTTTATTATGCAATACACTCAGTCTTACACAAAGATTTTGATTGCAATGCCTAGAAATTGCAGTTCGTGTGGTGTGGCATATGGGGGTACGAAGTACCACGTACCCGTGAACTGGGCAAGTGGCCAACTTAGATTACGCAAGCAGCTGCTGAAACAATAACTTCAGGGATGCTGCTGAATGTAAGGGCTGAAATCAGTTATTAACTAGAGGCTACAAAAAAGACATGTAAAAAATTTACTAATACATACTTTCTGAGCATTTGTTCCTTAATATGTTTTAAATGTTAAGAGCTTCTAGACTTCTAAAACCACAGTGACTTTCAGGTCATCCTGCATAGCAAAATGTAAACTCAACAAAGTTTTGTGGACTATAAACTCATATTTGTCAAAGAAATGAAAAATCAATGTACAGAAACAACTTATATGCAATGATCACTAAAAATCACTGACCATAATCCTTTCAGCAACACAGACTATTCTTAGATCACTGTTTGCATCTGATTCCAGTGTTCTAAGAAGCACATGCCTCATGGATATCCATCACTGTTCTCATATTCCCCTATGACCCGTAAATGCAATTTTTCTTTCTTTTTAACCGGCACACATTTCATGGAATCATGTCATACTGCCCATATGAATGACCAGAGGATTTTGCTTGCTCACACAACAGTCCTGAACAATGAAAGGTTTGAATCTGTTATTCTTATAAAACAGTTTTAGCAGACTCACTATATCTGTGTATATTTGTATATTGTATTTTTTGTATGTCGAGTATGTTTGTGCATGAAAGTTAAAGTACCCTGTACATACCTAACTGTGCATCCTCCAGATTCCAACAGAACCACCAGCATTTCTTGTCCCTTTAATAAAAGTTAAGTATCAGAATATAAAAAATATGGTTCTACCAATTATTATTCAAATATAACCAAATTAAGGGTAACAGAAGGAGGGAAGTGTGATATGTCATCACATCTCTATAAGCTTTTGTAAAACATTACACCAAAACAGGATGCAAAAAACAGATATTAAACATCTCTGGTTATCTTATTTTGATAGTCATAAGTATACTTTAAATATGAAGATAACCATCTACAGTGCAATCTGATGATACAGTGGCTACCATAAGATAATGAATCTTGCCAGGGACATACATACATAATCCAGCCCCTTAACTCTTTCCTGTCCAAAAAAGATAAGACCTACAAGTAACTATGCTACAACTGGCATTGCTTACAACTGAACAAGGCCAAGGAAATCCTGAAATGAGAATTTTGAGGCTGATACAGCATTAAACTTCTTAATCAGATAAGACAAGAAATACACAAATTACACGCTAGTAATATATCTGTCAAGGAACTGAGAACAGAGAGAAATAATGCTAATACACTCAACTGCTTTCAGCTGTGAAAGGTACTACATTGTGATCACTGGACAAGTGAAGATAAGCATGACAAGATGGCATAAGAGTTGATTTATAAAATTTCTTCATTACTTTAATTTAAATATTTAGAGAAAATGAGTGTACAAGTAATAATTTAGAGTATCTTTTGAACTACATGTTTATTTAGTTCATACTAGGCCAAACTTGTACACCAAAAAATTCAAGTTGTCTGATTACTGTTAGCTATAGTATAGGCTGGGGAGGACAAAGCCCTACAAAAGGGCTGTAGTGCCTCATAGTAGTAGTAGCTACTTTAATATTTCAGTTCTGTGTCAGTGCTTTATTATTTAATAATGGTACCAGAAATACTTTTGTTCTGTAAGACATCATAACAATATTTGGTTACCTTGCCCACAATCAGCAGAAACCACCTCCCCTGAGGCAACTGGTATGGTGAGGTGGTGGTAGGTACTGTCTCAGATAATCCCCTATTGCATGAGGCAGGAAACACCTCACGCCATAAGACCAAAGAACGCACAGGTTCAGAACGTCCCAAATGCAACAGACCCTGCTGACGACAGAATGTGTGTACATCAACAAGGTCTGTTCTGGCTAAATGAGATGCCAGTAGATATCCCTGAAAAATAAAATGCAAAATGTGCATAAGTCTTGAATCAATTCTATCAAAAACCCTCATTCTTTAACCAGGTTCTTTTCATAAAATAAACTATACTGAAATAATGAAAATGCTTATTTGTTATGACAGTCTTATGAATATGCAAGGTGGTTGGTTCATCTAACTGCATTACTTTAAATAACTCTCTTATTTCAGAATGTAGTAAAAAATGCTTCAAATAAAAGTTATGCATTGTCAAAGAGAGCATATTAAAACAAAAAATGTTTTTCCAAAGATGTGTTGTTCTGAAAGTTTTTTCTTTGGGTAATCCTACAGTTTTGTATGAAAGAATTACAGTCAAATTGAAGACAAGTTCAGTGATGTGCACCTAAGTATTCACATGTTTCACACATATGTTTTTCAACAAAGAGGACACAGCTAAAGGACAATCCTTCTCTTGACATGATCTGGACTACTGTCTTGTACAGTCATGTAAGAAATGTACACTCAACGAGAGAAACTCGATGTTAGACTCATTTATGGCCAATATGGAAAAGATACAGTTACAGCACAGCCATCTGTACTGTGAAACAACAAAATAGAAAGTAAGAGTACCTTGTGATAAAAACATGTGCCAATGATTGTATACAGTCTTTGACAGCCAGTGCTATCTTCACTCTGAAACAAAAAGCAACAAAACATTAGTGATCTAATTAGCAGGTTTAAATTCCAATATCATTTTTGAGATACTAACATTTATTAAAATGGGAGGCAGAAAACAATAACTGGTTTCTGCACTATAGCAAGAAACTTCAAAATACTTCTCTCCAGGAATAAAGTGGAAGTTCAGAGGATGTCATATAATGGGCTTCCCTCACTGTCTAAAATTTGGAGAGTGTAAGGTACTCGGTTAAATTCTGGAATGAACACATTCTTCTCCTAGACTAGCAGCAGTCCTATAAGGACAGCCAGTTATAAATAGCTTCAGAAGCAAAACTGCAAGTACAGCAGATGCAACAAGTTATGGTAAAAAGTTGTTCCTAGTTATAAATTGCTTGGTATGACGCTGGCAAGAAAAATCTCTTATTTTAAGTAAAACTTCACATACTTATAACATTTAGAAACCGATGGCACCAGTGATTTTTCTACCATTACAGGCCAATGACATTCTATTATAGTCCAATTTAATGAGGAACCTTCCACAACAGCAGCAAGAAAACAACTAGGAAATTAGTTACTTTCAATGCAGAACATAGCCATCACATGCTAGTAGGTGGGTTCCAAGTTACATGGGACACTGTGCTTACTATCTCAAGAAGTGAAATGTTTTGAAAGTAATAAGAACTTTTGATCAGCCAATTATGGATTGTTTAACACTTTAGTTACTTACCAAATCACCAAAATCATTTGATTCTAGTTCACTCAATGCTTCATCAAGTTGCACCTGTGAAGGATACAAAGCAACTTAAATCTTAATAAACCTTAATGTTTATGTTTTTCCACAAATTTCAGAACAACATGGAACCATGCCTCTATTGTTACAGAATAGGTAGCAATATAAGACACTTAACCATTTCAGTGCAAACACCAGATGGAAAAACTCATTATAATTACTATACAGTATGGAAGAAAAATCTGATGAACAAAAAGGTACACTTGAAATGGACATATTACTTTTGCATATTTCATACAAAATGTACACTTCAGAATGTGTATCCCTTCACAGCACTGTTATTAGGCTCGTGGAAAATGCAAATAAAATTAAAATAGCAAACCAATATACCCTACAAAAAGTTCTGTTCAATTTACATGGTGAAAGAAAAACTACAAACTATTACATAAAAAATGTAGTGACCCATTTCTGCATGTTATTTTCACAAGTGCAGGTTCTGATTATCTTAAATCTGTCAGATACAACCTCAATCATAATGTTTGTAACTGTTATCATGGAAATAATACTTCCTACAGAATTTGTCTTTTATGAACCTCCATACCAAATTTAATGTCCCTACCATTAATGATTTAAGTAGTTATCACCATCAAACTGAAAGCTAAATGCAAGTTTCACCCAGCTACCATGCTGCCTTACATTTGCATACACACACATAAAACCACACACCACAAAATGAATGAAAGAAACAAACTTCTTAATAAAAGGCAACTTGATGGTCCCTATGTGATATTGTGTTTGCATTATGTTTTGTAAAATCTATTACATGGATAACAAAATTGAGACAGCCAGATGTAACACTGTATAAACATATTGACACCCCTACTTTCCTTATACAATAAGAAAGCTGGGCTAAAAGCAGAAAATAATATCCATTTAAACTTTTACATCACATTTTACACATATCTTATGAATGTATAATACGAGGCGCGTCCCAAAAGTAAGTTTCCCTGGGGCCATTTACAGAAACAAAACACAATTTCATGGAAATATTTATTGCAACAGATACAGCAAATGTCCAGCTATTTTTCAACATATTCGCCACCGGAATTGAGACATTTGTCATACCGTGGGACCAACTTTTGAATACCTGTGTCGTAGAAGTCTGCCGCCTGGGATTGGAACCCCTGTGTGACAACCATCTCCGCCTCTCTGTCATTCTCAAAACGCTGACGCTGACCGGACAGGAATTTCTTGAGGGGTAGGAAAAGATGGAAATCACTGGGAGCGAGGTAGGGGCTGTAGGGTGAATGATTAAACCCCCCCCAGCTGAACTCCTGCAGGAGACTTGCTGTCCGTCGAGCCGGGTGCGGCCTAGCGTTATCACTGACCGCACTTCACAGTCGGCGGGAGCTGGAATAAGAACCGCCATCTTCAACAGCTGCAACGATGCTACTGTGAGAACGCGGGAAGTACCGTTAGTGCATGCGCCATGCTACGTCATTGCTCTATCACGTACGCACAGTCACTTCGCGCAATATAAGGTTTGCTAGCTGTGAGACGAGTGGGAAACTTACTTTGTGGACGCGCCTCGTAAGTTGTCCAGACACATGTAGTTGTGGTTGGCACTGTGAAATAAGAAGGAATGAGACAGTGAAAGAATAATATTGGGCTCTCGCTGTATCATGGAAGAACAGTTTGTTAAAATGCGAGCTAGACTTATCTGGCTGAAAAAAAAACTATCCAGATGTGGATTTTGGAAACGCTATAACGAATCTTAGATATCATTAAAAACAAATTTTTCGACCCGCCGAATAACTTTCAAGTAACACTTTTAAGCGTATCCATTGCAGTATTCGCCTTCAGGGAGCTTTCCGTTCTTGCAGAATAAATTTCCAAGAATTTATTAGTTAGAATTAATGTGACATTTCTAAACTACCCGGTGACCTGAATAAATCTCGAAGTTTCTCGTTGTGTTATATCTTCCATTCTGCACTTACTCAAGCCGTAATGGCTTCGAATATACTTGTGAGGGGTTTGTCACAGTGAGAGACGTTTCACGGCCGCACTAAAGGAACGGGTGAAATTATCATTATGAATCAAATAATTTGTACCAATTCATCCATCTCAACTGAGTTAAAAACTATACCCTGAAATGTTAAAAAATGTCAACAGAAAAAAGATCTCTTTTAAACAAAAGCCAAAAACAGTCAATCGATGCCACCCTGGATCAACATACAAGGTCTGGCTGCTCACCTGTGTTTCACGAGGCAAAGGAACCCAATGTGCAGCAGGCAGAAGATCTTCAAACTGAGCTGGAGCTGGATCAGCTGCCTTGGTGGAAATATCTTGTAAAAACACAGATTGCTGGGCACTTGGCCACAGACCACTACTGAGAAGCCGAGCAAAAAACAGCGAGAAGAAATGATCAAGTGCTGGGTGATATTCTTCATTTGTAAAAGCACTAATAAAAGAGAAAAAATTAAAAGCAACAGTGACATCAGTAACTAGTGACAAATTAAATCTGCAGCCTGTTTAGATAAACAGTAACATATCCAGCAGATTGAAAATTAATGAAACTCTGAGTTCACAACTGACATCACAAAAGATCACTATTCGACCTCATATTAAGCAAGATCAATTCAGTTCATTCAAAACCTGTTTATGTAAGGTGAACTGTAACATTATCTTCTAATCTATATCTAGAGTTCACAGTGTCCCTTTCTTCATACATTTTAAAACCAAAATTCTGTGTATGTTCTACCACGTATTCTACATGTCCTGCTCATCTTACCAATTGTATGTAATTACTAGCAAAAAGAGAAACCAAAATATAATTTTTATTCTCTTTAGTTTAACATCACACTTCAAAACCCACGCAATTAATGGATTTACTGAAAATTACAAAACTGGTTTAAGGATGCAATATGAATGCCCTGAACCTGCAGGGCTCATGCTAACTGTATGTTGACAGAGATTTCTTTGTGCTTCATGAAGGGCTAGGAGGACGACAGGAAGTTGTAAAAAGTTAACTTGTTCAAACACCAAATCCCAGTTCATCATTAAGTTATCCCCAAAATACTTTATTCAATAAACACACACCATTAATTCATTGCCACAACAAGCTATGTAGTGTATCTGTATTGATGGCATACTGTTTTTATTTATAGCAGATTTACATCACGAGTTTAACAGTTTAGAAGTTTATAAACATTTACAACAGCAATTAAATAAAACATCTCCATCTCTTGAGCTTCAAACATTCATAACATCAACCAGACTACACAGTGCAACAACCCAGAAGACAGAAAGCTTCATACTCACCACTGTGAAAACCTCAAATCTTACAAATATCAGTTCATTTATCATCTCCAGTTCGTACACTTTCCCCAGGGATATTCTGTATAATAAATAAGGGTAGCAACTGTTGATTATACTTACCGTGAAAGGGTCTGATAGTTGAACTGTAAGCTGTGCACCAAATCAGCTGTTACTTGCACAGCTTCACGCAAGGGACACCTATAAGAAACATTTCAAAAGCACAAAATAAAAGTTGAATTACTAACTTTCAAGTCCAGTCAAGCACTGACTCAGAGGTGAAACTGGCACTATTTAACGAAAAGGAATCTTTCCTAAGTCACTATATAAATTATTCTACTGCTTATAGTATTAGTTTAGTATACAAAAGATCCTAGGTTCAGTAGTAAGTGCTGTCATTAATCTTGAAACAGAGAAATAATAAAAAACCTGTCAATATTTTGACTTGAAGGAAAGGTAACTTATTTTCTGAAAATAGCAGACTTTTCCCAAACACCACAAAAATCTTATCTTCGGGGTCGTGACTCCATGTAGTCTCATCGGTCACATACAATCCAGAACACTACTGATACAACTGACACCTTCACCACTATAAGATACTCAAATCTCAGATAAAATAACAATATTTCTGAATGCAAGATATGTAATATGACCAACCTGCTATGTGGCAGTGCAAGAAGCATGACTTCCTTCCCTTGAGCTGTGCACACTACATGAGTTAACTCACCACGCAGCAGAACAGTTGAACTGGAACAAATAAAATGGAACAACATTTTCTGACATCATTCTAATTTACTTATTGTTGTCTATAATTTTAAAGAATTTAAGTTTTATTAATGTCAAAACTATATGAATAAACTAATAAACTGTAAGTTTCCAAGCACAACTACTTTCACAGTCTTTTGTTGTAGTGTTTCAGAACACGTAACTGCCCCACACTTGTCAACTTACTTTGAGGACGAGCCTCGTATTATAACTGGGCTATATATATTAAATTAAATGGAGGGATTTAAAAAGTTAAATGTCCTTGTGATTAAGCATCAAGCCACAAAGGCATGAAAGGAAGTAAATATGTAACTCATGCTTTCTTAATCTTGGCAATGGATATGGTCAACTTCACATTATGGCTGCTTTACCCACTACCCATTAGATAAGAGGTCAGTAGGTGGACCCCAGAGCCAATATAAACATGGTGATAAAGAGAGAAATCCTTGCCCATGCTTCAGGCTGACTATCCAGTCCACAGCCAGTCACTTTATTAACTGAGCTATCCTGGCTATCTGAAGGGACATAGCAGGTGATACTAATAAAACACATACTTAGTAGAAATACACACTTGGTGTTTAATACGATGAGAAGATAAAAATTAATGCTGAGTATATAAGAATATGGAAATATGCAATTGTGGTCTATTTGAAGGTACTACCCTGACATTGCCAAGAATGAGAAAAAGTGATAGTGGAACCACGGTTCCGGAGAATTTGACGTAAATACGTCTATACGGAAAGGAAGTTTATATATTGGCATTATTCTAAATATTTCCTTTATACATGCTTTACAATTGAGATAAGTTTGATTAAGACATTGATTATTCAACTTCAATTAGTTACGCTTAAAATGGGTCTGTGGTAGCTAAATGTAAGGTAAGGTTAGGTAATGTAATGTTTTATAGGTAATAACAATGCTAAGTCAACAGATGACGTTTCCTAGGTAACAATAATGCCGAGTAAACAGATTACATTTCCTAGGTAACAATAATGCCAAGTAAACAGATGACATTTCCTAGGTAACAACAATGCTGAGTAAACAGATGAGGTAACAATGAAGTTACACTTTCTCGTTTCCCTTTTTCGTAACACATTTTTGCCGAATGACCCTTCCTTATAGACGTATTTACGTCAAAAAATAAAAAATGTAATAAGATTTCGGGTGATTACAGTGGTAAGTATGAAGAAGGCTGTCTTCTGGGTTGTTGAATCATTGTCCTGATGACAGAGACAGTGTGCACCTCTAAAACATCAGTAAACTTCTACCAGACCACATAGTGCAACAGCCCAGATGACAGCCATCTTCATTAAAAATGTCAATCAGGATAACAAGTAACAGAGTGTAATATTCGAAGTGGGCACCAAATGTACACAAGTCTAAAATGATACCAGTACCAAATATGCTTGGTTCCTCTTCAAGGATGTTCCCACCTCAGTAGTGGATTATGTCTCTTAAACAGGAGCAGGATAAAAGGAGTGAGGGAGGGAAGGCCAGAAATACCAAAAATGGTAAGGAAGAAAGAATTCTCTCACTTACTACTGAACTTCAATATAGTTGATTGCTGCAGTATGGACATTTACCTCACTGGCGGAGATGGGGCCACATCAGGTAGAAGATGCTGCAATGTCATGAAGGCTCCTCGTGCAGAACACAGCGTATTGCTCTGCATAGGAGGTGGGTAGCAATACAGAACACCCTGGTTCTCAGGACCTCCTTCAGTAAGACCTTCTTGTGTGAGGTATAACACTCCTACTGGGAGTTCCTGTAGTACACAGCTCAGTTCATCAGCACCAGTGATCCCTAATAGCTGTTTCACCAAATCTGACTGCTGAATTCCCTGTATGCAATAGTAAGTTTTGGTTTCGTGATTAAAATACATACATAAAAGTGTGCAGATGTTTATAGCAGTACATAACAAATTTTGTATACATTTATTTGCCACCTTCAAAAATTAAGAACCTCGATGGAAATCAAATATAAACACTGAAAGTAATTATTTTTGCTCCAAAATTATAAATGCAGTCTTTCCATAGAAATTACACACTAGTGTAAAATATATTTTCGAATAAGTTCTTACACAAGTCCAGTACTATTTTTACTAGTGGTATGTGACTCAAGATGAAATGGAAAAGGCTTTGACCTC